ACAGCTGCAATACATATTCGTAAACGAAACTTACTTTCTGGATACGCCTTGTTGCGACATATAGGCACGCTTTCATATATGTTGAAAACGTGTCTTATTGTTTAGTGCGCATGACAGTCGCGTAGAAGTTTCGTTAAGAAAAAGTGACACCAAGTTAGTCAGTCCTCGTTCGCGCCTTGGAAGTCAGATGTTGTAGCCTGCGATATATTTTATTATTGTTATAGTTTGTTACTATTTCTCTGGATTTCAGTGAAGCTTCAATCCAGTAGGATTGGATACACCTTTAAAGGTTTGTAAAAGATAAAAGACTTATTTACTTATAGAACGAAATCTTTCCAACATAACTTATACGTATACGTCGCGTAACTTACCGGCAACGGAAGTACACGCGTAATAATAATAGTGCATGAACACACCGTCTACAGGCATACATAATTTCCTCAACTTCCGTATCGCAGTGGCAAATTTAAAAAAATAAAATGTAAGCTTGTCCAGCACAAAAGAAAGATAGAATTTAATAAAACAAAAGGAACTAAACTTATAAATCGTAATATAGTTAAATACATAGTTTTCTTGAATTTAATTATAGCGATTCCCGTTTAATCTTGTACAACTATTTCGTGGGGAAATACCTAGAATATAGTATTAATCCCTACAGTAGGTTATTGAGATGGTTAGCGAAGAGGAAAGAAGGTAGAAGGTAGAAGGAGAAGGGAAAAAGGTTGAACGCGTACGCACGTTGCGCGGCGTGTGGTCCATCGTGGTCTCGTGCTGCCTCTAATCTTAGAAACCGCCAGTATCAGAGCCAACCTGTTCTTTTTCTCAACCAACAGTGAACCGCGCTCTATTGATTTAGACGTTCCATTGATCTCCCTCTTACTCTTGCTAATATTCCTTTGCATCAGTTAATTCAAATCCACCGATTGTGAGAAAATAATCTTTAATTGCCCGAAGAAAAAGGGAAAATATTATATAATGCACTCGTCTACATAGAAGAGGACTAAATTTCCACTGAAAAATTGTTGATATTCGAGTGGATGTGACTTTATTAAGAGAAAGGATTTATTTTAAAGGGTGAAACCTCTACTTAAAAATTTGTTAAAGAATTTTTATTTTAACTCGCAAGGTGAAAAGCGGTCACCGGTGACCGGCACGGCGCTCAACATATTAAGGGATGTTTTTGCCCCAAAGAAGCAAAAATTCGTACACAAAAAACAAAGATTGACCAATTGTTTTGTTCATAGGGATCTGTTAAAAAGTTGCAAATTTAGAAAACAAATAACGACGTTCCAGAGTTAAAAATGAAACTGTGTGTGTGTGTGTGAGAATGAATTATTGATTTTATTTTAAATGAACTGTGATGATATTTAGAAGGCAATGGAAACAATTGGAGAGAGAACAGGTCGATTACAAGAAAAGTCTAAGAAATGTGAGTTTAACAAAACCAGTTGTTATTATAATATATTAAATACATATTGGTTATATTAAAACGTGTTATAATATATTATAATATATTATATTAAAAAATAAAATATAAATACATTAGTATTTAAGTTTTAGTCTATTATTTTTGCCCCTTTCTAGATAACATTCTGACTACGTCTGTACGTGCATAAATATGAAAATAAATCGTTAACTAATGATTAATTATTCTTCCTAAAACCTAACCTAACTTTCTAATTCTAAGAATCTTAAACATGATTTTTCAACGGCAGGACCTTTTTTCTATCATTTTGTAGGGTCGAAGCTACAGTTTTTCATCAAAAGAAATTTTTTGAAATTTCGAAAACCTTAAAAGTACCTTGTTAAAAATGAAACTATCGTCTTGGGGAAATTTTGTGATCGATGGGTGAGAATTGGGGGCAAATCGTGTAACGGATTCGATAGTTTTCGACGCTCGTTAAAAGAAAGCACTATCGAGCGTCGATGCATCGTGGAAAGCTTTAAGAAGTGGTTAAGGTGGCACGATGAAACCGTCGCGGGGATTTACGGCTGCGGTGGACTCTTTAATCTTGAACGAACCGCTACGCCACTTCGCTGCCTTCGACTTCATGAATTTTAGCTGACGTTCGTGTATATTGATTTAGACATCCATTTCCATATCGGCAACGAGTAAATTCTGGAATTGAAATTAAAACGGTAGCAAAGTACAAATAATTAACTCTAATTCCATAGACGAAGATGAATTCTTAATTGTAGCCAATCGAATTTAAATAAAATACCAAAATTCCTTTCATTTTTTTTTTGTAATTTAAATATATTTAAATTGTTTCTGATATTAACGGATTGTTCACTAGATTTTGTCTTTTTGTATTTTTTTATTTTAAGTGTGAACTTAATTCAGGGTACACAGTTGTCTGTAAAAATGTATTACAAAATTTCAAACATCTTCGATAAAACTTGTAGATTATATTATATATTATTTATATATTTTTTTTTTTTTTTTACAAAAGAAATATAAGTTTCTTAACTTCGACATTTTGCATACATATTTATTTGTATTTTACGAATGTTCACCATTTTTTTCAAATGAAAATAATCAAAATTGATTGAATTATATGTCATTGTCCAAAATCAGCCCATTCGATGCCAAGGCGATTAAAAGCAGTTTAAATAAGCGTAAAAATATTAATGTAATCAAAATTTACTAGATGTGACAATTGGTGAACACTTTTGTGGCATAAGTACTTCGTTTCTTAATGATACTTGTTGGAATATGGAAATTCGAGCATGGGGTTAATCGCGACATCTGTTATCATACAATAAACATTGCATTGGTGCCATCTAGGCTTTATAAAAGTGCTGTGCAAAGCAAGAACGCGACTTACTTTGTACATAAAATCATGCGAATACATATACAATTTTTATTTCGTCAATTATTATTTCACCAACCAACAATACTTAATAATACCGCACACGTTAATCAACAAACATAATATGCGAAATTCTTGTTTGCTTTCCATAAAACGACCATTTTGGGGGGACGTACGGAGACTCTCGTGACTGACTGTAGGTGTCGCGAGTGACGAGTCTCGCTCGGAAGAAATTTAAAGCTATCGAGTGCCACGCGGAGGTTAGAATCGATGACAGTGTAATTAAGCGTTAATTGATCGTGCGTAAAGATGCGATTATGGGTACGAGGGTGGAAAAGTTTTCAACCACGGAACGGAAACTAGGCGACGGCGAGGAACGAAAGAAAATATGGATCTGCCAGGGAGGCTGCCGCGCTGGACAGGCTTTCGTTTAGCTCGTGTGGGACGGGACATGTCAAAGAACTTAATTTCTTTGCGGCGAACCCTAATTTCGCCAGTGTTTTAGTTTAGTATAGGTTCGGCTGGCACGGCTGTAATCAGAAGGGTCTTAATGGTAGGTTGCCGAGTCCGGCGTGTGAACTGTGGGCGGGAACGACTCGCTTCCTACCTTCGGTATCTGACGTGCAGCACGTGCTGGCCTGGAAGACCTTCTTGCTGCTATTAAGAAGCGTGCTTCGTAACATCTCTTCGGATCTTTCGGACCTTACCGTCGCCTCGCATCGCCTCGCATCGATTCCTTTCCACGATAACACCCTTTGCTAGCGTCTTTTTAACGAATTTTCAATTCCTGCTTTCCCACACCACAGACCCACCTAATTTATTTTACGACGCGTTTGTTAATCGATCGAGCTAATCCATGTTCTTTAACCCCTTTACTTATGATTTAATTCCAAATAATTTTTCAAACGTGTACCGTTTAATTTTGTTTAAATTTGTTTGTACAATGGCCACGAAAAAGAATAGATTTACGAACACCCCGTGAACGTAATAATTTGTTGATTTTAATTTATAAGGCACGACGACGAGTGAGTGGCCTCGTAATTGTGAAACTTTACATCATGAACTTATGACGAGTCAGACACGTCATTGTATGGCAATAATTAAGAAAATTCTAGTGGAGGTTATAGGATTAGACAATAAAAAACGACGCATGTACTTTTCAGGTTATGTTTAATATTTCACGAATACATAATTGCATACATGGTACTGAACGCTATTCAACTGCTATACTGAAACAAAAGATGGCGTGCACGTTTGCCAACGAGGGAAAAAGAAATATTTCCAACACATGCATGTTTGCCAACATGGGAATAAGAAACATTTCCAACAAAAATATAGGACCAAGGATTTGTTTGAATAATCAAGGTTTCCTTGGATTTTTCAAGATTACTTAAACGATAATAATAAAATATAAACTCCCATAATAAAAAATAAATGTTTGATTTCATTTAAACAATCTATGCTAAGCTCGACTCGACTTGTGTTTCCAAGTATTATACTTGGACAAAACTGGTCAACGAAGCTGGTCGAAACACAATTTTTCCGAGAATTTCGCGGTGCAATGATTTTTAAATATTAATTGTATAATAAATGAAATTTTAGTAATTGAAAAAGGGTGAACATAACATTTATTTAAAACAAAATATAACAACAAGTATTTTACAGATGCACAACTAAACCAATGCAATTATAACGTAATAACAATATTAAATTATAATGGATTGATTAAATTATAAATTGAATAGAGTTGTTTCTTCTTTATAAACTCAGAAATGCGACCGGGCATGCTCGTGATTAGTTTTCCCAAAATTTCGTCGTTAGTTTCGTTCCATGACACAATTACAGCTTCTTTTAACTGTTGGAAAATTTATACTAGAATACTTTCTTAATTATTTTTAAGTGAATCAATCGTATTACTTTGCAATTGGAATTTCTATGTTCATAGTAATTTTATTTAACACATCTTATGCATAAATAAAGGTTTTATTTAATTGCAGAATAAAATTGTTAAATTTCAGTGTTCAGTACAACTTATAATGTTTCGAACGATCCAAAATTAACATCAATTTGTTTAAAATTGAGTTATTATTATTGGTTCCCCGTTTCTTCTTTACTCTGCATTATTATCAATTACTTTGTCTACAGTTGTTTCGTTGCTTGTAACCACAATCATGTTTTTTGTTTAAGGTGGAAGCAGCGGCGATGATTCGGAGACTGAAAGCGAGCCAGGAATCGCGTTGAAGAGAAAACAACGACGAAGCAGAACCACGTTTACTGGCGAGCAGCTCGAACAATTGGAAGCAGCTTTTCATCGAACACAGTACCCAGACGTTTACACCAGAGAGGAATTGGCTCAAAAGTAAGCGTGCAAACAGTAAACTTGGAAGTTCGATGAAATAGTAAATCGAACAATGCAAACACTATCGAATTGTACGATCTCACTAGGATTATCAGCGTGTCAAAGTTTTTATAGATTTTTGTACAAATGAACGTGTTATTGGAACATGTTATGTTTATAGAAAATAATTTATTCGATCAATTATGTTCAATTAATATTAGCAATATTGTTTGAGGAAATTGATGAATTTTGGTTTGTTTCTGTCAGACTGAAAACCGTACAATCATCTACGAGATCAAAACTTTCATTTTAGACAATTGCAAGCAACATAACCTAAAAATTGATGAATTTTCGTTTGTTTCTGTCAGACTAAAACCGTAGAAACATCTACGAGATCAAAACTTTCATTTTAGACAATTGCAAGCAACATAACCTAAAAATTGATGAATTTTGATTTGTTTCTGTCAGACTGAAAATTGTACAATCATCTACGAGATAAAAACTTTCATTTTAGACAATCGTAAACAACATAACCTAAAAATTGATGAATTTTGAAAGCTAGTGTTGCCTTTGCTAAAATTAGTAAAAATATACAGTAATAAATAAATAAACGGTGTACGTTTTCAGCCTGTTTGTTAAAACGATCAGGAATTGGGTCCTTAACGGATGTCTGTTAATTGTTGTTCCAGGACTAATCTGACAGAGGCGCGCGTGCAAGTTTGGTTTAGCAACAGGCGGGCCAGGCTTCGCAAGCAGCTAAACAGCCAGCAATTGAACGCTTTCAACACAATGAGTTTGCAGTCGTTTCAGACACAACACTACGGTAGTGCTGAAACTTATCAGACCTACGGTCAAGCATCGGTAGCTGCAGCCACAACAACCACCGCTGGCTACCCGCAGCACTACAACTATAGCGAGAATTACTATGCTGCACAGCAACAATGGCCCAGGCCCACCACGGATAATTATGGGTAAGTTGTTAATAATAGTTTCTTTTTATCGCTTTGCACATTCTGTTTTGGGCAGGAAAATAACATTAAATGTGCACGAGCTATTCCCGCCATTTTTGAATAAAATAAATGGCCGACAAATAGCAGTCTGTCGAAATCGAGCATAAAAAATTAAACGTTCCATTTATAAAAATAAAATTAACCTCTATATGTATTTTCTCTACGTCTCCACTTACAAAAATACCATTTATCCCATATTATGTGCAAGCCTAACGGAGATAACAATCGACAATTTCCCAATAATTGATAATGTTCGTGTCGCGGACCCAAACTAGCGAACAGTATCTAAAAAGGGAACGCTGTACTTGGATAAAAGTAACAATAAATTTCTCCAAAACAAGATGTATCGAAAATGGATAATCGTTATTATAAATGAGAAAAGAAGTAATTTTGACCACTTTGGTAGATTCGTTGTCCAAATGATACGGTTTGATAAACGTAAGAATCGACTTGGCCAGAGAATAGTTTCTATAGAAACAGAAATTCTCGGTGACTCATTGCCAGTGTGGTCGTTACTTTCGTCGAACGCTGTCGCCCCCTGATTGTGGCAGTCGAAGGAGTAAGAGACGAAGAAAGAATCTCCCTGTAGAGGGCAACTGACGGGAGGGAGGCCTCCCAAGTCGATTCTTTCACTCGGCGGACCTTAGACTTTCTTCGTTTGCAGTCTGCGCTCGAGCGGACTGGCCTCTGTTGTGTTACTGAACGTAACATCATACTGCAGCAGCCCGAGCATTTCGCCAACCTGTTATTACGCCGCAATGGCTGAATTAATTGATCGAAACACCCTTAGAGCACAGAAGGTATCCGCTCTTACACTTCACCGTATACTTCTTCGCTTCCTCTCCTCTTTCCGTCCACGCCTTACCCATCGAGTGATTTAGGGGGTCATTTCTCTGTGACACCTTCAAAGAGTCGATCTTTTTATTTTATTTTTATTTTTCGAAAGTACCTACCACCGAAGTGGTCATCTCATTCGTAATTTCTAAAAAACAATTTTCTATAACAAAATGAATAAACACTTATTCTTTTAATAATTATTGTTACTTTATTAGTTTAAATTAATTTGCGATATTATTTTTATATTAACCCTAAACCAATCCATCGATTCGTCGCTGACCACGCACATTGACATTCAAAATTGTTCGAATCGAATAAATTTTATCATAACATCGTACACATATCGTCCAGTGTGGATAGGTTAGGTCTGGTTTAGGCTGAGGCGCAATTCAAAATCATTGAAATCGGTTAAGTTCAATTTTTAGGTTCACCCGTTACATTATTCTGGTCGCCGGCCGCTGCCTATGTTTATAGAAACAGCAGATAAGGTTGGGGCGGACGGTAGGGCGGAGGCAACACGAGCGTCGAAACGACGTTTTTATGTTTTTCCTTGTCTTACAACTGAATTAAAAACAACCAAGGCAGACACCGGAACGCCGGTCATGTCTGTCTTCGTTGTTTTCAATTACAAGACGAGGAAGAACATAGAAACGCATGCCGTTTCGATGCTCGTGTGAACCTAACCTAAGAGGAGGAATGGAAGGAATTTTGGGAATATCTCGGAAATTAAGGCCGTGCAGCGGTTATATCTATAGGAAAAAGTTGTTCAGTGTCTTATTTTCTATAACATATTAACACATAAAGTAAATAATTACCAAAACTGAGAATGAAATATGGCAGAAGCAATTGTATGGTCAAAGAGGTTAGGAAAATGGGTATGAAGATATAAAAAAGATGATATGCACGAAGAAGAACGTGAGAATAAAAAGTAAGCGAAATAGAACGTGGAAACAGGTGAATTTGAGAGTCTGTTGGAGAGAGATGGAGGAAAATTCTTTTCTGTAACATATTTTACCATCATCAAGATCGTAGTTGAGGACCCCTAAAGTAAATAAATACCAAAACTGAGAATAAAATATGGCAGAAGCAATTGTAGGGTCAAAGATGTTAGGAAAATGGGGATGAAGATATAAAAAAGATGATATGCACGAAGAAAAACGCGAGAATAAAAAGTAAGTGATATAGAACATGGAAACAGGTGAATTTGGGAGTCTGTTGGAGAGAGATAGAGCAAACTTATTTTCTATTACACATTTTACAATCATCAAGATCGGAGTTGAGGACCCCTAAAGTAAATAATTACCAAAACTGAGAATAAAATATGGCAGAAGCAATTGTAGGGTAAAAGAGGTTAGGAAAATGGGGATGAAGATATAAAAAAGATGATATGCACGAAGAAAAACGCGAGAATAAAAAGTAAGTGATATAGAACATGGAAACAGGTGAATTTGGGAGTCTGTTGGAGAGAGATAGAGCAAACTTATTTTCTATTACACATTTTACAATCATCAAGATCGGAGTTGAGGACCCCTAAAGTAAATAATTACCAAAACTGAGAATAAAATATGGCAGAAGCAATTGTAGGGTAAAAGAGGTTAGGAAAATGGGGATGAAGATATAAAAAAGATGATATGCACGAAGAAAAATGCGAGAATAAAAAGTAAGCGAAATAGAACGTGGAAACAGGTGAGTTTGAGGGTCTGTTAGAGAGAGATGGAGGAAAGGGGAAAGAGCGAGAGAGTTGTTGGTTGAGTGCGGCGAAGCTGTCGGGGCCCCACCGACACGTTTTCTGTGTGGTCCTCAATTATGTTGTTTCTTTGGCCCCCGTAATGAAACGCTACCGGCTAATCTTCGCCGATGATCCAGCTTTAACCGGCAACTGCGCGCCCTTTCTTTCACCCCGGAAGCGATACAACCTCAACACTCGCCGCTTCTAAGAATTTTTCTCAACGAGCCATTATCGCGAATCTTTTTCATTTGCTTTGACCCCTAACCTGACGCCGACATCGATTCCGTGACTTTTAACACAAAAATTCTAAATCAGGTTCTACTTGCGTTTCGAGTATAGTGGTCCCTCGCTGATGGTCTCTAGTTTTTCCCTCGATATTGTTCGCAGAGTCATCCCCACCAATTCCTAGAACTGTAGACACAGTAATGACGCGGTTACGAAGGAATCACCGAAAGAACACGAAATTTTTCTATTTTCCAATTTATAATTATAAAATTATTGTAATCGCATTGTTGAGCATTTTTCAATGGAGATGATACCAAACAAGACTATATTTGCACCACACGTGTGAGAATTAGAGAATGAATAAAAAATAAATTGTACAACACTTTTATGATAGTAATATAAGTATATAAGTGAAAAATACTATTAACAGTAAGAAAAAAGTAATGATTATATATAAAAAATACACAACATTTTAGATAATAACAATCTACTAAAACCTTGAAATCAACTCGTAAGAACAGAAAATGTAGGAAATGAAAAAATTCACAAAATAATGTAGACAATGGAATGGAGTAGATTAAAATGTTAAAAACGAAGTACAAAAATAAGGTAGAAGAAATGTATAAGGATGTTGTACGCATTAAAACGATTCGAAGCAATTAAAAATGAAAAATCAGCCTTCAAATTTTAAACTCGAGCTACAATACGAAAATCATGCAATTTAAAAAAAAAAATTGTATACTTTGCCTTCCGAGTAATTTTAGAACCTCTGGTATAAACAAACGTTGGATATCTTTCTTCATTTCATTCGCTCTCAGTGATTCTCAGTTTCGTCTGTAATACGATCGAGTCTAACAGAGATAAATAAGAGTCGAGAATTCCTGGAATAGTGTAAGTACCTCCCTCGATATCGTTCGCGTCGTGGAACCGAGCTAGCAAACATTAGCGAGGGATTACTGGATGTCTGCGAAGTCTCAATACAAAACGGACCACCTACCTATTAAAAAAGAAATCACAAAAGATTCGAGTAAACGGCAGCCTGGACGCGAGATCCTTTAACGTCGTTCGAGCGGTATGCGCGTGGTGGATGCGCAACGATAGAAAATCTGTTAACGGCTATATCAAGGGCGCCATCTTGAAACGAAACGTTTGTACGTTCGTTATTTCGCGGCAGGATTATCTCGACCGATCCGACAATGGTAACCGAAAGGTTCGGAAATCTTGCAAAAAGTAACAAATTCATTGGTATTTTATAGGGAATAAGAAGCAGGTTGACGATGTTACGTTCCAGGAACAGTATTAAAATATTAATGCGGGGCAGTTTCACCTCCATAACCTCGGGATGAAATTCTCTTTCCGTTTCGCGACTCTCAAAGTAACCGCCGACAAGTTCTCTCTCGTTTTGCCGTGCAATCAAAGTTCACTGCTCGTTTGCAAACCGATACCATACGCACACGCGAGCGCGAGAAACTTTCACGCTCGCACACATACAAATAAGAATCGTTTAGGGCGTGTCGAGGCTGCCAACAACCGATTTCAAAACGGAGTAGCGGTCCTTTTGACCGTTTCGGCACAGCAGCACGGTTAAGAACCCTGAAACGTACCGATGCTGAAACCATTTAATTCCTCTCTCCTTCTTCTCTCCTCGTCTCTTCGTTTCCTTCCTCTGACCTTTCTCCTCTCCTCTTAATTTCTTTCACGAACCAGTGCAGAACTGGCGGAAGCTCGAGAATTTATCGACTGTCCCCGTGCACCGTTCTACAAATCTATTTTCTTCTAGCCGGCGCGTCGCCACAAATCAAATTCGCCTCTATACAAGTGCTAATGAATTCCGGCGAACTTCGCCCGCCAGGAACAATTTATAATCCTCGATCCTCAAAATTAAAGAATTTCTACGCCGCGCGTTGATTAAGCCTGGCTTCCCGTACACAAAATCCAATCTTACATCTTTAATATTTTTACCAAAATTCAAATGACTGGTTTGCTGTAAAACACGATTTTTTTAAATTTTTTGGCAATTTTTTTTTTTTTGCAATTCCTCACACATATTTATTGATATTTATGAAATATGCAGGGCATATCATAGGGCATATGTTTATGCACAGAATCGACAATTTTCAAGCAGTTCACAGTTGTAATTGAATCGTGGAATGAAATTAACGAAAAAATTTTTAATAAGTAAGCACGTATTTATAAGTAAGAAATAGTTTGCACGAGATAACTTTTTTATAAAAAAAAACTGTATTTCGATATACATATCTTCTTTCTCGCGTGTCGCAAGACGTACTAATTAATCAAGGTGGCGCATACGCTTGCATTATGGTGGCGCCCTCACCGATCGACTACGTGACGTTCTCGATTTACAATCGACTTCAATAGAGTTAATAGAAAAGAAACAAGGTCCTGTTCATCATTAAAATTGTCCAATCTATTCAATTTATAACTTAATCGTTTCATTGTAATTTAATATTGTTATTACGTTATAATTCCATTGGTTGTGTGAAATACTTATTGTTATATTTTGTCTCAAATAAGTATTACGTTCGCCCTTTTTCAATTACTAAAATTTCATTGCAGCCTGATTCGTGAAATACTATTAATATTTAGAAATCGTTAATTTGTTGAGTCGTGCCGGTTCAAACGTCACGCCACTGGAACGCTTTTGTGGACTCCTTCAAGAGGTCGTTAAGATGCAACTTCATGGCGTCCATAGTACAACCAGCGTGCTTCCGACAGTTTATATCTTGCGTGTTTTTAATTAGTGTTGGTTCGTCTTTCCGTACGTTTTATTGAAACAAATTATCGTCGGTCTCTCGAGAATTGTAGTGGTGCTTGTGCTCCGTGGTGCAGTCTATTTAATTTCCAAAGTGTAACGAAGAAGATGTTGGTTTCAGATGCCTGTCATTTTTCTGTTACAGACTGTTTAACGCGACTCATTACAGTAGCAGCAATCTAGCTTCGAACTTGACCAGCAACAACTTGAATCTGGGCAGTCTGGGCAGCAGCGTGAGTTCCACTGCTTCGAACATGAGCGAGTGCATGGCTCAGGGTGCAAGTTCAGGAGTGTCGGCCCCGACAGGAATGAGCCACCATATTACGCCGCACAGCCCCAGCGAGGCCAAAAGTGGCTATCCTTATCTGGGTGGAATAGAATCCCAGGTTTGTGGCAGAGTTCACTGAAACGCGAATTACACATCGAATCGACGAGTTTGATATTTTCGAGGATCCCGTCGATGTGATAAAGACTAAAAAAAGGGAAAGTTTCATAAAAAAAGAAATCAAAATCTAGGCGATTGTTCTACACGAATGTCGGATGTTGTTCGTTCCCTGAACAACAATTATAGAAATTGCATCAAAGCGTAGGAAAATGGGGCTTTGTGCATCGTTTTCGGTGATAGATGCTCGAGTTTAGTGCGACAAATTATAACATTTTTATTATACGTTATTAAACGTTTTGATAAACGCGTCGGGCGACGGGAAAAAAGATAACGAAAGTAAATTATAACTTTACTACCGCTGCACTGCAAATATGTACATAGAATAAAGATTATTTTATCATATTTCTATTTTAAATCCTTAAGTTTCTTGTGAATACGAAATGTATGATAACTACTGCGAGCGTCGAGTACCTTAACCCTTTTGGACCTTTCGATCGATCGTGTGCTGCTTTCGAAAGAAGCAAAAATAAATTCCTGCACAGAGAGGGAGTAGCTATTTACTGTCGAAACATTTTAAATGTGTTAAGAATATACGTATAATGTTTATCGTTAATTACCAGTGTCCATAATTTTAACATTGTGTGCCTTAAGCTGTCGTTACAAAATATTATAAGGCATATATACAACAGTCCAAGAATAATTGCTACGCTGTGCAAATCGAAATCGGGGATTGCAAAATGTAATCAGAATTTAATATTCGTTAGTTAACGGAAAGTCTCTTAATTAGTTACCCTCCTCATCTTCGTATGAAATAACTTTCGAGCCTAATGTTTGCCGCGGCGAAATGAAATTACATCAGTATTATTTTCGGTTCTGAAACGAATTTCTTAAAACCCGAGGACTGGTGAGAACGCGATGTAAATACTCGTCGAGCAATCACATTTAAAATAAGAATAGCGAAAGCAACGTTTTATTTCAAAAATATTATATGCGATTCCAATGTATCATTGGTGTAGACTGATTGTATTTAAAAATTATTTTTTAGCTGTAGATACGAACGGCGTCGGTACGACGATTAACAATTTACCGTTTTCAGTGTATCACAGATTTATTATACATTCGAATGCACTTCGTTGCAATCGTAAACACGTAGATTAGGGCTGTCAGAATACTTGAATACTTATGAGTAAAAGCTGTTGGAAAAACGGCTCGAAAGAAATCGAAAGAGTATTATGCATGCAGGGTCGCTCCTGACGGGGGCGCAAAAGATGCCCTCGCACTTAGGCGACCATACCTACGGGTCGTAGACCTTTTAGTAAAATTTTGACTTATAAGAATAATAATCAAAATTTTTTGGACGATTATTAACATTTTAGACAAACAGAATTGAATTAATTATTATGGAAAACAATATTGTGTATTTTTCATATGTAATCATTTTTTTATATTTGCAGTATAGAACTATTTTTTTTTCATACTTTTATTGATATTTCTCGCCTTATATCGTAATTTATTTTGCCCTGTATACAAATCTGGGAGCCATTTAACTTGTCCGAATATAGGTTAGAAATGTATTAAAGTCTCGTTAAAAATGATAATATTAAAAAATTTAGACTTGATTCGAATTTCGAACTGCTCGATTATGCGAGTATTTCGACAGTCCTACTACAGATGCGGTAAATAGTAGTTAGAGCGTGATCCGTATTAGAATGATTTACCTCCAGTTGAATTTTTCCAACATTTAGTAAATTCCGTGGCGTCCATTTTGCTACGATAGATACTATTGGGAGACGAGATGTTGGCACGCTACCAGCAAGCTAAACGACGCGAGGGGCAAAGGATATGCTCCACCTAATCCCCTCCACTGTTTAGGTTCTTGGCTTGTTTAGAGGCTCGGTTCGTGATCGACTTGCCCAATAACAACCAAGAGCCTAACAAGTGGAGGGGATTAAGTGGATCGTGCCATTCTCCCTTTGCCCCTTGCGTCGTTCAGTTCGTTGGACCCTAGCCAACAAGTTATCACTTTATAGTACTTGTGCAGAGCTGAAGAAACGACGAGAAGAAGAAACGGAGGTTATGATTGGCTGTAACGAACGATGGTGAAATTTTATAAATGTGAGTATAGGTTAGAGCATGACAGGTGAAATAATTTACTTAATTCCCTATGCATCCAGCCAATCTTCCAGCTCTGAACGGTATTAAAATAAATTCTTCGATAACGAAACGTCCTAGAAATGCTTACTTAGATCGACTTGTCACTGTAAATAATTTAGACACAGCCCGATCGATTGTCGTGCCTCTTCAGCAATAATATTTAACGATGGTTCTCCGGTGCAAGGTTCGGCAAATGAAATGTGGTTTTTTCTATATAAGCGAAAACTTGTCTACGATATAGGCAAATACCGTATCCCCGCTGCGTATCTGTACACCCCGATATTAGGTATCACGATACTGGTCCAGATTATTAGTAAAGCAACACTAGTGCAACAATAAAAGTTTTTCTTATTTTTCCTCTTTTAGTTTTGAAACTTTTACCAACATATTCGTGACATTTTTCTGATTAAAATGACACCAAATACGATATACAATTCAGATCTTGTTTACTAGTGTAATAAACGATCGAAAGCACGCGTCGCAGAGTTCGTTTCGTTTCGCTTGTATCGAAATACAGGCGATGTTTACGTTTGCCTATATTGAATCGGTATTTCATTTTGTATTTCAGACTTCTATCCACAGTGGTATAGGACTCGGTATAGGCGAACTTCGATATAAGCGAAAAATATTTTGATATAGGCGAACTTCGATATAAGCGAAAAATATTTCGGTATATGCGAACTTCGATATAAGCGAAAAATATTTCGGTATAGGCGAACCAAAGCAAAGCAAACGAAAATGAATTCAGCGATGCTAGGTTGCTAAGTCCCTCTCAATAAAGTATGAGGAATTGTTTTTTCGCTTATATAGAGAAAATACTGTAATCGTTCAAATCTTTACATCTTCTAGGTCAGGCATTTCGGAAGTTTGGAGACCGGGAAAGTGGCTGGTTCTCGATCCCAGAACTATTTCCACTAACCGATTGTTCAATTTGCCGAATCTCGAATATAAATTGCGCAATGGATCGTTGAATCTGTCGTTATTGCAATATGTAGATTTATATTTGTCTGGTAAACGCAGTGTCTTCGTGTAACTCAATGCCTTAAAATTGCCTTTTTATATACATATAGCGAATTAGATCCATACGATACTGTAGGTACTCGTCGAGAAGCTGTTTTGAGATTATTTCATAAGTAAGCTTGTATACATATTATAAGTATTTAACGATCGAACCAATCAAAAGATATCTCAACTAATTATCGAAAATAAAAGAAATTCCCACTGTGACTTTGTTAATTGGATAACTTTATTGGCCAGTTAAACGTTTTTGTACAAAGGTGACTTTATCTAGTGCACATAATATTCTTGTAATTTATTAATTATGATCCCTCTGTATCATTCATTGTTACGAAATAAAGGAACATTTTAAATGATGCGAATTATGCCTCGATTAACTCGAATGGACGTTTGATTTTTTATTCGGTAACAAATTTTATATTTTAAGAATATTATTGTAAGAATATTAGTAGGATAAGTAAGGACACCAGAAAAAATATTTATTTAAAAAAAGAAGGCTGGACTGTAAATGAAATTAAATTGATATGCTACTAAAAATATTTTCAAATTTCAGACATAAACTTCTTTTATATTTGTACATTCTAGATTTGCATATTTGGACATTCTAGAGGCCAAAATAAGACGAAAATCAAGAATATCAATTTTTCGTTTGAGGCTTCGTTAAAAAGTTATTAACAATTAAATTATAAAATTTCAAATCGTTCTGAAAAAATTATTTTCGGTTGCGGGGATCAATTACAATCATTTTTTGTGAATAGACATACTCCCGAAATCCTACCCACTTTCGAGAACAAATTCAGGAAGGTGGACAAATTTTTCAGAGAAAAAAAAAATTTCAAATCGTTCAGGAAAAATTATTTTCGGTTGCGGGGTTCAATTACGATCATTTTTTATGAATAGACATACCCCCGAAATCCTGCGCATTTTCGAGAAAAAAATTCAGTATTGGCGGAATTTTAAACGTTAATAACTTTTTAACGAAGCCTCCATCAACAAATTGGTATTCTTGATTTTCGTCTTATTTTGGCCTCTGGAATCCCCCATTAAAATTTTTCCCAAGGGTGGCCGAACACTCTGCATATAGCATTTATTTTTATTGTGATGCAAAATGACATGAATGCTATAACATTCAAATTTATAAGCCACATTATCATGCATTTTTCATAATTATTATGCATTCTAATGTAACGGCTAATTTGTTCGTTGAGTATTTTCATTTCATTTTGACTTTGTGTATTTAAACATTTCTTTTAGGTTCTTCAAAGCATGGACAAAATAATTCGATTACAATTTTTATAACTTTTCCACTTTTTACCCTTTTATCGTATTCACCTTTCTCTAAAACTGTTAGACAGAATTTAAAACTCGCGATCTTGGCGCCGTGCTTCTACTGGTTACGTGAGCGTTCTACTGGACCAATCACGCATTTCTTGCTCGTTAGTCGTTCGCGTTCTTTTGTTCACGCGACTGGAAGAGCATGTGCGATCAACTTACACGCGTCGCGTTGTGTCGTAGCATGACTACAAATTAATGTGTATGTATTTCCGTCTGTGAATACGATACTTGTGAAACCATGTGTGTTTATTTGAAATCAATCCATCGCCCTGACAAAAACAATATCACGGATCAAGTTCACCTTGCAGGCGACTGAACAGCGAAGTAAGGTAAAACAACCTAATACGACCACTCGTAATATCTTCCGAAGTAAGCACTAAAATTGATCGTCCATAAACTAAATTAGTTTTTAACACGTTCGCGGACGTAAATGTTATATCATTCATTTTCATTGTGATGCAAAATGACACGAATACTATATCTTTCAAATTCATAAGCCACATTATCATGCATTCG